CCGACCGGGGATTTAAGGCCTTCGCCCGGGCCCCCTTCTGTTTCTCACGGGTGCCAAAAACGATAAATACCCGGTCGGGTATTTTGCCATCCGACCGGGTATTTTCCTCCTGCAGCCCCCTTAGTCCCAACTCGGCTCCTTTCGACCCAGAACTCGTTTCTCCGCCTCGATTCCAACGCCGGGACCTGAAATATGACACAAACACACAACTTGGCGTAAAATCGGCTTAAAACACGAGATTCCTCAGCCCAAACGGCTCCAGAATAGGGGTGAAAATATGTATAATTATCGGTCCATCAAAAATTCATTGTCAAATGAATTCATGTGTTTGGTATGTCATATGTATAAGTAATTTAGTTAATAAAAGAGGATAATTATATCATTCTTTATAATTTGTAAATACTTGTGGAATTCATTTGGAAATTTCATCTCAATTCCTTGAAATTGCTATAACTAGTTCAAATTCCATAGAATTCAAAAGGCAAAATACACCCTCATAGCCACAACTTTCCACTTTGTGCCAACAATAGCCAAATTTTGAAAAATACAGAGAAATAGCCAATCCGTCTAATACTTTAACGGACGAACGGTTCGCGCTGATGTGGCACGTCCCCAACGCTATTGTTGCCAGATGGAATTGATGATTCTTAATTATTTTTTATTTAAAAATATAAAAAACTAAAAGGCCTCTCCTTTTTCGTCCAACCCCTTTTCGTCGATCTCTAACCCTACCAACTTCACTTTCCACCCGACGAAACCCTCTCCGTTCTTTCTGATCGACGGCTCACTGCCGTTGACGGAGACGATTTGGTGCGGCCTCCGCCCCCTGCTTCCTGTCGCCTTCCAGTCTGGGCATCCTTTCCACTTCCTCTCATCTGGGCGTCTTTGTTCCCAAATCCAACATGCATCCCGACGACGGATAAAACCAACGTCGCCGACCCGACTTCTCTTTTATACGCCTGAAGAACGAGTGGGTGAGAGGAGAGACATCGACAACAGCGAATCCCTACTAGCAGCGGTGAAGAAGACAATTGGCGGAAAACCCTAGCTCAGAATCGGCAGCTCGAGAAGAAGGGGAAAACTTGATTATTGTCGGGCTGCTTCGTTCTCACCCTCTCATATGGTATGTTTCTTTTGTTGTACTGGTGTAGCAGACAGTTCTTAACCTCGAGATGTTTGTATTTTATATGGCTGAGTTTGGTGAGAAAGCGACACTGCAATTACTTCCAGGGAACACAACTTCTGTTTGTCACGAGATTGCCCTTAATCCTGAAGGGGCACCGGACCAGATCGTTGCTGAGGTCAAGTTAAAACACAACATGGAGGTTAAGAGGAGAACCTGTTACAGGGCAAAGGTGGAGGCTATAGGGCTCTTGAGTGGTTCTTTGGTCGAAGAGTATAAGAAGTTGAGGAGCTACGCCGCTGAGTTAAAGAAACATGATGTAATGGGTTGCTTCCATTTAGAAGTCGAGCCTCATCCAAGTGGTGACAAGTGTTATTTTCAGCGATTCTATGTCGATTTTTCTGGATTGGGGAAGGGTTTTCTGGAGGGTTGTCGACCAATGTTTGGTTTGGATGGTTGTTTTCTGAAGGGGGAGGTTAAGGGCATGCTCTTCACAGCTGTGGGTAAAGATGGGAATAATCAGATGTTTCCGATTGATTGGGTCGTGGTTGAGAGGGAAAACCGTGATTCTTGGTCATGGTTTTTGCGAACTCTAGCTCAAGATCTTTATATTTTGGATGGCAGAGGGTGGACAGTTATATCAGACCAGCAGAAGGTATGTAAACTGTGGTTCTTTACCTTCAATTAAGTTTTTCTTTCTGTCATAACATGTGTGGTGAAAACTGATAAATTTGTTCTATTGCAGGGTTTAGTTGAGGCCATTCATGAAATCTTGCATGAAGATTCACATCGCAAATGTGCTCGCCATGTATTTGCCAACTGGAAGGCGAAGCACAAAACTGATCGAGTTCGAAAGCTATTTTGGAAGGTTGTATATGCGTGCAACGAAGTGGAGTTGAAGAATGCAACTTCTGAAATGCAGTCCATTGAAGGTACAGGTGATGCTACTACCCCATATACGGATTTCATGGCGGCTGAACCAACTAGATTCGGTCATGCATTCTTGTCAACCGTTCCGAAATGTGACTCTATTGAGAGCAATATGTGCGAGACGTGGAACAGAAGCATTGTCAAGTTAAGGGGGTTTCGGATTGTAGATATGTTGGAGGGTATTAGGGGATATATGATGGACAGAGTATTGATCAAGTACAAGATGTTGGGCAAGAACACTGATATATTGTGTCCGAGAATCAGGAAACGTGTGAAGAAAGAGAAGGAATTTGCCAGGTTATGTGTTGCCAGACAGACCATGTTTGCTAACATAGCATCGTGAACCGCCATTACATTGATCAGTTCTTCAGCCACCAGTTGTTTTTCCTTCTTCCTCCTATCGGCTTTGCTCTGTACTCGCTTTTATACTTTCTTCCAGCTTGAGAATTGTAGCCTCCACTTCAGTGTCTTGTCCCTTAAATCATCACCATTAGTTTCAACCCACCTAAAATAATCGCAGTTTTTCTTCGGATCCTGCATCGTCAAACTATCCGTAATCATCATACATATGCTTCGAACCAAATGAGTAATCCAAATATGCTTCTGTTACCTTCCAATAAGGACAGACGTAGAATTTTCGGCCTGGATTCATATCAGTTCCGAAGGTTTGAACGACACAAGGTTTTTTATGCAAGCACTAGACGAGCCCTGAATTGTTTACACTTGTTGAACCCGAATCACCCACCTTGACCGATTTGTCACTCTCAATCCTCTATGACATGATTGCAATTGTTGTCGAAAGAGAGGGGCGTCGACGAGGAGAGAAACGTCTGGGGAGAGAAGTCGGGGGAGTGAGGCGTCATCTGGGGAGAAAGGTCGAGGGAGAGGGCGTCGTCTTGGGAGAGACGTCGGGGGAAGGGGCGACATCGGGGGAGAAAGGTCAAGGTCAAGGGCGTCGTCGAGTGAGAGAAATCGGGGAAAAAATAAGGCTCGGCGACGGAGCGACGGAGTCGGAAACCTAGCGAAGAAGAGGGGAAATTAGACATCGTGAAAACGGGTTCGCAGCAGGGGGAGGTTAGGGGTTTTTATACAAAAAGGTTTTTTTTTAATTTAGATAATGACGTGTTAATTAGGTGGCAATAGTTCGTCTATGTGGCAAATAGGTGTAGGACATGTGGCGGCCACGTAAGCATACCGTCCACTAAACTGACGGAGAGGTTAAAGGCGGTTAAACAATTTAACGGTAATGGCTAGATTGTACAAATAAGTTTTAAAAATGTGGCTATTTCTCTGTATTTTTCAAAATTTGGCTATTGTTGGCAGTAAGTGGAAAGTTGTGGCTATGCGAGTGAATTTTGCCAATTCAAATTTAGAATCGAAAATGAATTCTTTTAAATAATAAACACAAAAAGGTTTCATTTCAAAATGAATTTCTCAAAACTTATGCAATTCATTTATATCAAATGGTATGTAAATATCAAATTACCAACATACCCTTAATCAAAAGTTCAAAATTCAAATAACCAAATTAACAACCCCCAACCCCAAACCCTTCTTCCTTCCCCACGTCCCCTTCCCCTTTGCAGAACCTCCAACCACCGCCTCACCTCTGACCCACTCACCTTCACCGTCGACCGCCCTCCCGTCGCCGTCCGCTCCATCCCGTCGCCGTCCCGAGCCCTCCAGTCACCGTCCCGAACCCTCGCGTCGCCGCCGGCCTCCCGCTCTCCATCTGTCCAGCATCGCCGGAGAAGAAGGTAATCCGCTGGCCTCCCAAAGCTCATCGACCGCAGTCAACCCGCGGTTAATTCGCCGACTAACTGCGGTCAATGCGCGGTTTGACCAACGGTCAACCGCAGTCAACGCGCGATTGACCATCGGTCTAACCGCGGTTATGGCCGTCGATCTAACCGCGCGTTGACCATCGATCAAACCGTGGTTTGACTACGGTTGAATATTTTTTTAATTTTCTTGTTTTCGTTATTAATTATTTAAATATATGATAAATTTTCTAATTTAATTGGTTAATTGCTTATATGCAAATTAGATATGATACTTAATAATAATAATTTACTTATATATTTTGTTAATAATGATAAAATTAAAAAAACTTATTAAAACTTTTTCGATAAATGTTTATAATGATTAAAAAATTAAAGAAAATACGTAGAAAATAAAAAATGTACTTATATCATTATAATAATCAAATTTTTTAATTAAATCGTTTATGTACTTAATTATTAATAATTGTAACTTTTAACTTACTTAATTAAGTATTGCTTTTATGTAAATAATGATTAATTATTTAATTGTACGTAGAACATTACATAAATGTTCAAACTATTAATTTGATGATTTTAATTATGAAAATCTTAAATTAATTAGTTTATCTACTTAACTATTAATAATTGGAACTTCTTTTTAAGGTGTTTGAACATGGAATGGGTAAACCGGATATGATTAAGGCGAGAAATAAGGAGAGAATGGAAGGTCGTCAGTGTAGGCTTACGGCGACTGGTAGGAAGGAAAATGAAGAAAAAAATCCACCTAAGATTAGGTGGAAGAAGAAGAAGGCGGATGTAGTGCGTCCCGACGGCCACCATGGTACAATCGCAACTCATATGCGGTTCAACCACAGGTCACTTGCGGTTGCACCATGGATCAACCGCAATTGAGATGTTGTTGGATCATGGTCGAACCGCAGGTGACCTGCGATTGAACCATGGTCGAACTGCATCTGAGCCGCGGTCCCCTTTTTTTCTAGTGAACGTTTTTACCTCGTCGGAGTCGCTACTCATGATTCAGACGTCCTACCGACGATATCGGCTCTAGAATGATGATGATGAATTTTTCTCTCCTTGTACAGTGTTTTTTTAGTCTAAGTGGTGTTTGTTTGCTAAAGGGAAGCTAAAGAAGCTAAGGAGTTAAAAGTATAACTTTGATATTTTTAGGGCGACCTTGTGATCGCAGCACGCGAATTTTCATCTTCGTTGAAGCATCCTATCTCAAAAGTCATGAGCTTCTCCAGTAGCTTTTCTCGAACCCTTTTCGTCTGCTTTTTGCTCATTACCGCAAAGTCGTAGTGTTGCACAAGGTCAGAGATGATGTTTAAAGTATTGGTGCTTAGCAAGTTAAATGGCAGGTTCCTAGACTTTTGCTTCATGGCATCTTCATCGGGAGGAAGTAGGGTTCGATATAAGGGAACAAACGCAGTAAGCAATGATGGGTTAAAAAGCACAAAAACTAGTCGACTCCATCTCCAAGCATCCAACCAAATTTGTGCGTTCATTTTCAACAACCTCCATTGCTATGGAGCATGATAAGCAAATTGATCATAGTCTTCATTGTCACTGTCACCCCGATCTAATGGCTAGTATTGATCTAACGGCAGTTGGGAACTGTCGCTCCACTTCGGTTGAGTAGTTTCTCAATGTATTTACTTACTGTGGCCATAAATAGGAGATGAACAGAGACGGCGTCATCGTTGTGACAGGGGCCGTCATGTCCTCCGCTTAAAATTTAGAAATTTCAAGTATCTAACACCATATCACAAAAGTAGGTGTGGCCTAGTGGTATGTTGGTGTTATTTGAAAGGGAAGGTCGGCAACTATGCATTTTCATTTTACAATTTTGCCATATCTTATCCAAAAAATCCCCAGCCTTACAATTCGATACCTCAAGTTTTTTAATCGTCTTTATGTTTCCTTATGTTTACAATTCATATAATATTTGAATTACATATCATTTCTAGTTGTCTTTTACTAGTTAAAATTAGGTTATAAATAATTCAGGTTGAACGATAATTATTATAATATAAGTTTAATTTAAATCCTATGTTGGCATATCTTATCCCAAAGTTTACAAGTCTTACAATTTGATGCCAAACTTTTTTTATTTGGGTGCATCTTTTCCTTTTATTTTGAGATTTAGATTATGATCGGTAATTGAAGTTATTTTTCACCAATGCATCCATTCTATATTAAGTATTAACAATTGAATCCATCTTCTTTGTTTTTTAATTCATTCGGATGCAATAATGTTTAAGTTATATACCATGTCTAACTGCATTCTAGTAATGAAAATTATGCTATATATGTAATTCATGTTGAACGATAATTATTGTAACAGCCATGTAATGTAAATCGTATTTTGGATGATTTTAAATATGTTAGAAAATGAATATAAAATTAATTTCAAATAAATCATAGTTTTGAATATTAAATTACTTTTTAATAAGAAAATTACTGGCCCCCCTATTACCGAAATTTCTGGCTCTGTCCCTGGAGATGAAGATGACAAAGGATGGGTTAGCCCAATTCACCCCCGACAACCTATTGTCAAAATTATCATTTTATCTTATCCTCTAAAAATCTAGCCATAGTTGTGATTTTGGAGCTAGCTCTCACATAACCTCTAGAACAGCATGTTAATTTAATGTAACTTTGTCTCGTAGATCATAAAAAAAATTAAACACCCGTGTTTGAATTTTTTTTCAAAGAGGTATAAACGTGTTTAGTAGTCATTTGGTCAGAAGTTAAATGTACAATTCAATAATGTTTCAACCGAAGTTTCCTCTGTGAAAAACAAGATTTAGAGATTTAGACATGTTTTTTTATACATAAATTATTAAAAAAAAAAAACAGCGTTGGAAAATGACACAACCATTTAACACATAAACCCTTTGCTTAATAATGCTGTGAACACTCCAATGCACGTACACATCCATGTCATGACTCATGCATGCATGGCATGAGTTTACATCAGTGACTACTGCCACGTCTGAAATTCAGTAATTAATTGGATACAAAGTAAGAACAATCTGAAGTGAAAATGATGGAATTAAAATTAAAGTGAACCTTAATTATTTTTCAAGAAGGAAAAAAAAAAAAGCACAAAGCACGAAATGGGGAGTGTGGATTAAGGAAAGACGATGAGTGGCATATTATTTGGATTTGGTTGGGTAGGAAGCCATCTTGTAAAGTCCACACATCCCCTCGGGCTTGCCGGTGTTCCTCTTCATCCGGATAAAGCCTTTCTCTCCCCATTTGGGCCCCCACGAGTTCTTCACTATCACGTAGTCCAGGCCCTTCCCGCCCGACCCGTACCCGACCGCCGCCACCCCGTGGTCCAAGCTCGTCCCGCAGTGCCCATCGAACACACCCTAATATGTGAAATCGTATAAGAGATAAATTATACAGGAAAGAAAAATCAATGATACAAAATTTTGGATCTGGTATTTTTTTTATTACTAAAATCATACTTAAATAATGAGTCAATTTTTTATTACTATTTAAACCGTCTGCTAAGTTCGTTCAGTTCGATATCTGATATTTCTGATCCGATCGGCCGATATTGGGAATAAAATAAGTTTTGGGTATCAAAAAATTCACTAACCCCACTGTAGAACTGGAAGTCCCTCCCGGAGGCATCAATGGCGACGCTAAGCGGCTGGCCGGCCAGCGCCTTCAGCAGCGCCTGCTCGTTGTTCGCCGGCACGTCCTTGTACCCAGTAATCGTCACCACCGCAGCATCCGCCGCCTTGGTCATCTCGCAGGTGCCTTCCTCCATGACGTAAGGGTAATCCTCCTCCTTGTGGAGCCCACCGCTGGACGCAATGTAGGAGAAAGCGTAGTCCATGAGGCCGCCGTTGCATCCGCTGTTGTAACCCGTGTCGCAGTCGATGAGCTCCTGCTCCGACAGCGCCGTCAGGTTCCCCGTCACGATCTGGTTGATCCCTTCCACCGCCGCCACGGTGGAGAACGCCCAGCAGCTGCCGCACGACCCTTGATTCTTCACGGCCGTCACCGCCCCCTTCTTCCTCCAGTCCACCGCCTTGGGAATGCCGCCGCCCTCCACCTCCTCGTCGACCGAAACCCTTTTCCGTCGGAGTGAGGAGTTGAAGTTAGGTGTGTAAAAGATAAATGTTACGAATAATATAAATGTATAGATTCTATCGTACATTAGATAAAAATCAGAGGTGTGACACACGGTTGAGTAAAGAAATGATATCTCTAGATCTTGAATTAACCAGAATTTGGCATCTGATACTACTTCCAAATCCATAAAGATTAAAATATGTGTTTTCAAGTTGTATAAATTTCATACACTAAGATCAATTTAATTAGAAACAAAAATCAACGGTCATGATTTGTCGAAATATATATGCAAAAAAAGTACATGCACAATCTTAAGGGGTTAGACTCTATGATTTAGATAACTAAGAGTCTAAGACCTAGGATCCACTCATCAAGGATTAGGGTTTAGTATCATGCCCAAAAATTCGGTTAAATCGAGGTCTAGATAACAATTTTTACTCAACGTACACTAGATTTGACCAAGGTCCAATAGAAGCCACCTAATTTATAGCAATCAATTAAGATTTGCTACATTCTCAAAATACATTTTATCCTCGATCGAGTTCATTAATTCTTTTCATATGCATGTCTATAGTGATTTATTATCGTTTTAGCAAAACTTACGTGTGTCCTGTGACGGAGTCTGCCCTGGTCTCCGTCACTGGGGGCGGCCTGAGGCCGAGGTAGTTGTTCTTGAACTCGTCGTGGGTGAGGTCGGCGAACTCGTTGAGCCCCAGCCAGTAGTTGGTAGCCTTCTTGTTGGTGTCGTCGATGTGGAAGAGGTTGTCCTTGAAGATCTCGAACCGCTGGATCTTCTCCTCGATGGACTCGTAGATCTTGGAGTGCTTCTCCATCCACGACTCGAACAGGTCGATCAGCTTGTCCGTGGAGGCGAGGTCGTCGGAGGAGTAGCCCACGATGGAGAAGTCCCGGGCCGCCGCCGTGGCAGCCGCCGTGGCAATGAGGAGCAGGAGGAGTTTAGTGGTGTTGGAGGAGGAAGCCATGGTTGCGCTGTAGAGTTTTAATTAGAGTGGTGAGAGATGGATGGAATGGTTTGATGAATGGAGATGGGTTTTTATGGGCGTTTTATAGAGTAGGTTGTAGTGATTTTTTTTGTGTATTGAATTGAAAGAAGATGCTTTCAAGTGAAGTATGTGGCGACAGGGATGGATATAATATTGCACGCTTTCCACCTCCCCAGCCTGAATACTGAGACTTTAAGGTTGGTTCTCAAGTCATGATGTATATATACCTTTCCATTTAAGCATAAGCATTGCTCCATCATTTTGGTTCACGACTCCTACACTCCACAGTTACACTATTTTCCTTCTATACTTTGATCGATTTTGTTTGACCCTATAAGAAGACGATTGATTAAGGATTTAAGAAGAAGGTTGGTTGGGTTACGACCCCGATTCAGAGACTTTGGTTTAACAAGTTCGACCCTGGAGGACCAGTCTCTCAATCGCTGCTTGAAGAAAAGTATGTTATGATGTCGTACAGTCGTCATGACGTACGTCATCCTGTTTACTGCACATCTTACCATTAGTCAGCTTGTAATTATAGCCACTTGTATAATGCTTATTCGTCCATTCAATTGTTAGTTAGTTTAGTCACTATTTAGTGACTATTAGCTGTTAATTAGTGCAAGTAGGTTTTCCTATGTAAGCTACCTGTAAATGCTTTTTAGCCTAATTCAATGAAACAATAAGTTTTCTCAAATTATGGGTGTGCAATGGTCCGGTCCATACAAGATCGCATTGGACCAAACTGGTATTTGGATCGAACCGAATCGATTATAATGCGGTTCGGTCCTTGATCCTATGAATTTTATAGTTACTTAAGAAAAAATGGACCGAATTGATATTGGGCCGGACCAAATGGACCGAATATAATCATGGTCTGATCATTGATCATAATACATCTTTCACTAACAAATTGCCGTTCTCATAAGTTTGGTTTGGACCGAACTGTTACGCAGCCCCTATCTCAAACCCTATTATTAGACCCAGAGGGTCATGTTTGGTTAATACAATAATCCATCAAGAGTCAGACCAACCCCCACGACAGATCATGTCTGGGCTCCAAGTTGAAGATCTCTAACTCACAAAGCTTTGGGGTGAAGCCCATACAGATCAGGAATGGAGGTTAAGTTTTAAGTTGCTACGAGCTGTGATGTAAGCCCACATCAGAATTTTACAGGCCGTCGGGAGCCCAATATCTGTCCTTGATGAAGGCTCAAGGAAGGTTGTGGTCTTTTAGCAGTCGATTAGCCTAACTTGTGGACCAGCCAGCCACGCATTGGACTGTGAGAAGGGCCCAAATGAAATAATGGTAAAGTATTTCATTCATGTAAATCATACCGAGTGAGATGATTAACAAGTAAATTTTTTTTTTTTTTTATAGGTAACCTGCTTTATATAAAATTATGCAGCACTGTCAGTTACATTATCCAGACTGAGCTGGTCAATTAAGAACACAGGTGGGCAATCAAGCCACACTTCTCTGCTATCCCATCGGGTACCACTGTGAGCCATAATGTGAGCTGCTTCATTAGCTTCCCGCCGAGTGTGACGTACCAACTCAGCACCCAGATTCGCTCGGCCAAAGTAATGCTTGATACTGCTGCAAATGATACCAACTTCATTAGATATAGGAGCCTCGTCTCGAAGGTAGGTAACCACATTAAGGCAGTCCATTTCTAGCACAATGCGCCTGATCCCCAGCTGCCTAGCCAGCTGAACTCCGAATTCTGCTGCGAGAACCTCCGCCATCTCCACACTGTGTATGCCCCGTACTCTTTTGGCCGCCGCTGCTATGAACCGGCCCTGGTAGTCGCGTATAACAGTCCCGAGACCAGCTCCCTCCCCTTCAGGCAGTAGGCCAGCATCAGTATTTACTTTCGTCCACCCTACTGGCGGCCGATCCCACCTGGCAGGTTGGCTGTCTTCTATGATTTCTTCCTTCTGGTTCCGTTGGTATTCATGGAGGAAAGCCAAAGCTCGCATCACCACTTCATCTTCCGGCCACATATGTCCATTGAAGCACTGAGCATTTCGTTCATTCCACAGGGCCCATAGCAAAGTTGCCCATTCCTCGAAAACTTCCTTCGGCTGCTCCTTAGCTACCTTCGACATCCATGTCAAGCAATCCATCGTTTCCGGTACGTCAAACACTGCCGCAAGAGGTGACCCTCGCCAGATTCTAGAGCTCCAACTACATTCGCGGAAACGGTGGATCTGGGTTTCCGTCTCATTACAGTAGGGGCAGATGTCACTCCGCCGTTCATTATGCGCACTGATTTTCTGACCTGTAGGTAAAACTTCTCTGGCGAATCTCCATAAGAATTGCCTCACCTTTGGTGGGATGTTCAACGCCCAGAGCTGCTTCCATATTTCTTTGCTTCCCCTGGCTTGGATGCCTTCCTCAGCCACATACCCTTCTAACCACTGTCGATAGCCGTCCTTCACAGTATACATGCCGCGGTCATTATTATGCCAAATGAGCTGGTCCTGTACCTCTCGCCCACGCAGGGGAATGGTGAGTATCAAGCGGACTGTTTCCTGGGGGAAGCATCTCGTCAGCAAAGCCTCATCCCATCGCTCTGTCTCCGGCTCTATAAGATCTCTAACATATGCATCGACAAGAAGCTCCCTTGGGGCCGAAGTGACAAAAGTGCTCGGCCCTTCCGGCAGCCAACGGTCGCCCCAGATTCTCACTTGCTCTCCATTTCCAATCCGCCATCGAAGCCCCTTGCATAAGAATTCTTGTGCCCCCATCAAACTCCTCCAGATATAGCTCGGGTTATACCCAATATTCGCGTCTAGTATCGAGCAGTGTTTATGGTACTTAGCCTTGAGAATTCTTGCTATCAACGATGATGGTCTTTGGCTAAGGGACCAGAGCTGTTTTGCTAGGAGCGCCATGTTAAAGCCCTTCATATCCCTGAAACCCATACCCCCATCCTCCTTCAACATCACCAGTTCTTCCCTGCGCAGCCAGTGTGCTCGCCGCTCACTCCCCTTTTGACCCCACCAAAAATTGATGATTAACCGATGCACCTCATCTAGGATCCCATCCGGAATCTTAAAGACAGACATGGCGTATGTGAGCTGGGCCTGTGCTACTGATTTAATCAACACTTCACGAGCTGCCGTCGACATCACTCTCTCCTTCCAGCCCTTCAATTTCTGCTTCACCCTCTCTTTGAGACCCTCGAATAGGGCTTTTTTGGATCTGCCCACTTCTGTCACCAGGCCGAGATACTTGTCCTGCTTCTCCACGATCTTCATCTCAAGAGTACCACCCACAACAAGTCTGCTATGTGGTTTAACGTTAGCTCCAAACGAAACTTCTGACTTCTGAAAATTGACAAGTTGCCCTGATTCTCGTGCATATGCCTGTAGGATACTCTTTAACTCCAGGCTCTCCTGTTGTGTTGCCCTGGCAAAAAAGATACTATCGTCAGCAAAAAAGAGATGGGTAATCACCGGGGCTCCCCTAACCACCTCCAGCCCATGCAACCGGCCTTCTGTCATTGCCTGGGTTGTATAGGCCGATAATCCCTCCGCACACAGCAGGAAGAGATAAGGTGAGAGAGGGTCACCCTGCCGAATGCCCCTACTCGGTGAAAAAGTAGGAGAGCGATGGCCGTTGACCAACACAGAATATGAAACTGAAGTCACACCCATCATAACGAATTTGATCCACTGTTCATCAAAACCCAGGCGACGCATTACTCCCTCCAAAAAATTCCACTCCACCCGGTCATAGGCCTTGGCCATATCAATCTTCGCTGCAAAGAAACCATGCTTCCATTTTTTACTTTTCTTCATCGTATGGAAACACTCAAAAGCTGCCATGATGTTGTCCGTGATCAATCTCCCAGGCACAAAAGCGCTCTGCTGTGGAGAGATTATCTTGTTCAGCAGTGACTTCATTCTGTTCGCCAGGACCTTCGACACAATCTTGTACAAGACATTGCACAAGCTTATGGGCATGTACTCCTTTGGGGAGGTCGGCTGCTTCGTCTTCGGAATTAGGGCGATGAGAGTATGGTTTAGGCCCTCTGGTAAAACTCCTGTTGTAAGAATCTGCAGAACTGCAGCTATCACTTCCTCCCCGATAATGTCCCAATATTTTTGAAAGAAGAACACTGATAGGCCATCAGCTCCTGGAGCCTTCCGTTTCCCCATCTGCTTAAGGGCCCCAAAAATTTCTTCCCGAGTAAACGGCTGCAGAAGGGCTTCATTATCCTCATTGGTGACCCGCGGCGAGATCGAGTCAAGCACTGGCCAGGTCATAGGAGCTTCCCCTGCCGTAAACAGTTTTTCAAAATATTGCATCATACATGAGGTAACTCCATCCTGCCCTACATACCACCTCCCTACTTCATCTCTAATTCTTCTAATTGAGTTCCGTTTTCGCCTGGCTGATGCTTTTCTATGGAAGAAATTAGTGTTCTTGTCCCCACCCTTTAGCCATCCTACTCTTGATCGCTGCTGCCAGTACTGCTATTCGTTGTCCAAACAGTCCGCCATTTCCCTTTCCAGAGCTCAGCATTGTTCTAAGACTCCCTCGGTTTTTGGCATTCTTTCGAGCGCCCTCAATGCCCGGTTAATCCGATCCTTCTGTTTAGTGAACTGGGGAAAAGTACTTTGGCTCCACTCCTCCAATTTCTGACCACAAGCTGACATTCTATGTAGAATGTTCGATCCACCCAAGTTCCAGGCCTGCTCCACGATGCTTGCACAAGCCATGTGTTTCGACCAGTAAGGCTCAAACCGAAAGGATCGCCCCCATCGAATTTCCACATCTTCGGCTCCTCGAGTGTCACATGTAATTGGGCGGTGGTCGGAGCTTGCCCTATCACAGTGTTGTACCCGGTTTTGAGCAAAAAATTGTCGCCATCCATCATTTGCCACAAAGCGATCAAGACGCTCCTCTATGTAACCTCCATAGGTCCGCCTATTCTCCCATGTAAAAGGGTAACCATGGAAGCCCAAGTCTTGGAGCCCTGCCTCTCGGAGACAGTCGTCAAAATTGCTCATCTCTTGTTCATGAACTCCTCTACCGC